ATTCTATGATTCTATGTTTTGCAGTCCAACAGACTTCAGGGAACAAGAAAGACTGCCAACCATAGCTCCTCAGACCAAAAAAGGCAGCTCAACATCCATAGCTCTTGGCTGTCCTGCTGCTCCAAAACTCTTGGAGCACTCGCATCTGGTGTGTTTCTCTCTCTGCTGCCCTCAGACAAGCCAGGGCAGCCTCAACACTAAATACAGCTGTCAGTCCCCAAGATACCTTTGGGGAACGCAGACACAGTGCCGCAGTGTCTGTCACCAACACTGCCCGCCCTCCCCATTCTGCCCTGCGAGCACTGTTTACCCTCCAGAAGGAAGCAGATGACAGATTCCTGCAGAGCATCCGGGAGAGGCTGACCGAAGGAAGCAGTAAGAGATCAGATGCAGAAGACTGCAATCTGTAGGGCTTCTCTGACAGACAGGGCCTAGATGGGTCCCCACACAATAATGAAAAACCCCAAGCAATACAAAAACATTTCATTTATTGCCATTCATCTGAAAATGCTTCAGGAGAGAAGAAAGCAAGCACTAATCTATGTATGTTGGCCACAGTAGAACAAAAACAGACCAGCCCCAAGTGCTTCACTAGAGTGCTGGGATTTTTTTTTTTTTTTTAATGAATATATCCCATTTTTTTCTGGAAAAATCCCTGCAGACATCTCACCATTGGTCACCCTTTATCGAAACAGTGGTTCCCTCTAACCCACATTCCTACAAACAAGCTTCAATTACCATTATTTTCAGTCACACACTGCAACAACAGCAGCATTTGCAGCTTATTTATCAGCAAACCTGTATTCTGAGCAGCAGGTGCCTGTTGGCATGTTCCAACTTCTTCTGTCTGTTCTCGAGCTCCTTCGTGCGTTGCTGTTCTCTTTGCAGCTTACGGATGTAGTCCACTGATGCTTTTAGGATAGTTCCCTTATTCCAGCGCATATCCCTTTGAAACCAATAAAAAAAAGGAAGAGTTAAGGCTCTCAGAGAGGCTTTGTTTTATAGTCATCACCTTCACATCAGCAGCTATGATTATACCTCATACATACAACCCCTGGCTAATATTTACTCCAAGTTTATGAATAGCAAAGGCATTGGAAATGCAGGAGAGGGGTCAGAGGGCAGCTACCACATGGCAGGCTGCAGCCAGCCCTGGCCCAGCCGAAGGGCACAGAGCCCAGCACTGCCCTGCACCTGCCCCGGCTCCCCGCAGCCCCCTGCCTTCTTCAGAGCTTGATTCCCAGCACCAACCCCAGCCCTGGCACCGCACAGCAGCCAGCCGGATGCTGAGCTGCTGCACAACGGTACAGTGACTGTTTTGTGACAAAAATCATCAATTAATAACAACTTAAGTGAGTTCCAAAAGGGAAAAAGAAACCCCAAAACAATCTTCAAAAACCAGAATGGATTCAAGCATTTCTATAGCCACAGAGCACCAAAATCACACAAGAAAACTGAGGAATTATTTTTTGGATTTTTTTTTTTTTTGTAAATTCTTTTCCTCCGCCAAGTTTGCGGGTTTTTGTGTTGTTGTTTTTGTTGTTTTGTTTTCCTTTTTTTAACACCTCCCTCCCATAGTCTCCTTGGGTACATTATACTTACGGGTCATTTGACTTGGGTATCAAAGTGCCTAGTTCTTTTATACGATCGTTAATATTAAATCTTCTTCTTCGTTCAACTTTAGGAAGAACAGCACAAATGTTACAAGTAATATTCACACTGAATTACAACGTATAAAGAAATCTTTGATGAAACACTAAGTGCCTTTGAAATTTACACCTGAAGCTTAAAATCCAGTGACAGAGTCATTTATTTTGCTCTCCTACACCTGGACACACTAAGATAGAAGTTCTGTCTCTACTATAAAAATGTGGGATTGCTGAAGTGGCAGAGTTAAACTGAGACTCTAAAAACCAGGATGACTCTGTAAGATTCAACTGAGAAGCAAACATTTTCCTAGGGAAACATCACAAATTCAGAGACAGAAATTTAGATGCTCAAGGAAATCCCAAAGCAGGAAAAGGGACAAAATGTATAGTCTCTTTTTAACGTACTCTTCCAGATACAACATTCCAAGGATCCAAAAGTCAAACTTAAATATCAATTTCCTGCATATGCTTTTCATGCTGAAAGGCTTCTGAATAGCTCAAGACATGAAACAGTTCTTTTTTTTTAATAAAACAAAGTATAAAAGGACATTATATTAAGTCCTTAAATTAAGGATCCTTTAAGTCATAAGATGCTCATTATTTTAAAATGCCTTTTTTTTTCCCCCAACTTGGAAATACGCATTCCCTTCAAAAATGGAATTTGTAGAATTACCACATTGAGGATGCACACTGATGTTTAAAGTCACAAATTGACCACATATCTAAGATTTTTAGATTATTTAAAAAAGACACAATTGTGCACAGTGGATTTATTAAAATCAACCGGATCAAATGTTATTCCCAGTAATTCAGTTGATAACCACCCATTCGCTTGGCTTGTTGGAAAAAAAAAAAAAAAAACAGACTTTGAAATTCAATAGTAGATTTAAGCACACATTTCACTAGAATTCAAGATGTTTTATCTATGGGCATAACATAATGAACTGGTGCTATATGCTATATGCAGTGTCTCGTTGAGTTTTAACACAGCAGCATTCAAACACTTAACACCTAAAATCGATACTAGAATTGGTGCAAAATGTAAAGAACCAAAACTTACTCAAGTTGTGATTGTCTTTCTTTTGCCTCTCCTTAGCCAATGCTCTCGCTTCTGACTCTGTAGGAAAAATACATGCTGTGCATGTGAATGAAGTAATTAGAATTAAAGTAATTCAAACACACCGTTTCAGTCTGTGAAACATTTGCGGTGGAAGTCAGATTGATATTTGTCAAACTAATTATGCCACCCATTCCAACGAGCGAGAATGGCCTGTACAGTAAGCTGTGATTGCCAAAACATAACGCTGGCATTGAACTTCACCCCTGCACCTGCAGAGCATCTCCTCCCACGCTTCCCATACTGACTTCCAAGATGAGAATGTTTCCCACGGAGGCCCTGATTCAGCAAGGTATTTGAGGACATCAAACTGTTGAAATCCAACATACCTTCCCTTACATTCACATACAGCCAGCACGCTTACGAACCACAGAGCAGCCGAACCAGAGGAGCAGCATGCTTCCTGCATTGCTACCTGCGCAGGACGTGAAGCAGTCGGGAGTCAGAGGCTCTACTCACCGGAATTACGGCTACGTCCTTTCGTGGCACGTGTGTGCACATCACCACAAGGCTCAAGGTAGAACCTAAGCGACCTATTAAAAACTGTATTTTCCAGCTACACTAACTGTTCTCATTATATTTAAAAAAAAAAACAAACCACAACCCACCCCAAACACCAACACCTTTGCTAGCAATATTGTTGGAAAACAATGGTCTTTGCTTCAGGAAAAGCAAAAAGAAAAATAACGACAACCATGTCGCACATCAGTTGTCTCCTCAACCCAGAATTGTTCTTAACCTTGCTCCCCACATTTATTACAGAACTCAGCATGCAATAGTTCAGGCACAAGCATCACTAGATTTGTTATTTTCAATTCTCCTTTCCTCTTACATTTCTCAAGCAATTAAAAAATTTTATTTTTGCTTGCTTGCTCTGTCCCTTTTAGTTTTTGAAAAGGGTGAGGATATTAGTCCCTGCCCTGTTTCATTTAAATCTCAAAACTAGCAAGCATTATTTAGTTTTGCAGTCAGTCAGTGAGGACAAGTGAACATGTGATCTATTATCACACAGTCCATTATGGAAACAACCCCCCCTTTACTCACTCTAACAAGTTTCTTTCCTGCATTCTTTTATTTTTATGGTATACTGATTATGTCACACCCAGTTCATAACAAGAGGTGATAAGGGTTTCCCATGGAGTACTGGAAGTTGACTTCCAGTCACTTCTTCACTAACCAGAAAACAGCAATACCCCAATATCACATGCAGTATAACAAGACATCTTCATTCTATGCTGCGCTCCCAAAGGATCCCCCCAAAAGCTTGAAAGACTGGCATGCCTCTGTGAAGTCTGGGCTTAATCTGACATTGCCTTAAGAAACAGGTATGAGGTTTGTAAACCCAAAACCAATGGAAACTACACTCCTGGGTGAGCAGAATTTGCATTAAAATCAGTAACTAAGGCTGAGAACTCACACCCACCACCAACATGAGACACCGGGACAATAGATGTGAATTTTCATTATTCTAAGTTTGATATTTATACAGTAGGGTGGAGAAAGCTTTCTGACAAATGTTAGATACAAACGATGCAAGCTCTCTCCAGCCTAGTTCCAACAGCAAAATCAGAATTGGAGAACTAAAAGACTCCTGCCTGCAATAACTGCTGCTTTTAAAATAATGCTGATTTTAAAAATCACTGGCTGTCAGAAAGCACCATCGATAGTGCTTTCTGCACAAAGGCTTGGCCAGATCCATGTCATAGTGACTGCTGTAAGTCTGAGTTTCATTCCTAAATTAAATGCAATCTGCTAGCATATATTTTGAACAGAAAAAGCACTTATCTCAATCATTTCTCTGTACAGGTGAATGTAGCATATGGACATTTAACTTAGTTTGGGTCTATTTCAGTGTATCGAGGACTTTCATAAGACTCCATCACTAATTTCCTCTCTTTGAAGTCTTGTGCAACCGCCTGCAGTGAATCCACTAGCCTGGACGTCTGACAAGTTGGACATTTGGTTTGCAGCCTATAGCCACCTTTAACTTTCCGTAACTGGGGCAACGAAACTGCCTGTAATGCAGGACTTTGAGTAGTTCTCATGCCCTCCCACCCTCCTCTTAACATAGTTCCATCGCTGCTGAAGCTTTTCTTTTTCTATCAGCCACAAATCATTGTGCAGTTTGTGTGTCTTCATTTGGTGCTGAACTCAAATTTTGTACAGTCACATAAATGCAAATATCCACCAGCTCAGAGACGTGGCATTTCCTCCTGAGAAGCTGACTCCTGGGCTATTAAAACTGCTCTACTTAAACTAATTCCTGCTCTGAACCTGCTTTGCAACTGAGTCAGCCTGTGAGTTTTCACAACAGAAACCCAGAAAGACAACAGACAAGAAAGAAATTATGCCTCTGCTATACTGGGTACAGTATGACTCCCTGTTGGGCTTAAGAACAGCCACTTCTGGGTATTAAGATGATTTTGTCGTTGGCTCCAGAATGGATCTCCATTTGTTCCTCCTGCAGATAACCCTGCCTTGTATACTGTACCCTACACATGGTTACATCCTTTCAAGTGAAGCTAAACAGCAATAATAAAACAGGCTTGGGAATACAAAACTTATTTCTTCCTTGAAACTATTTAGCTTCTGTACACATGTGCTTGAGAGAAAGAGGCTTTTAACGTCCCCCTTCCCTCTCCCTGCCTCCCATGGCTTACTGACTCCCATGGCAGTCAGAGCACTGCTGGAAGAACCAACATGACAAGGATTAAGATAAAAATTAAGTAACCTGTAAATATAAGAGATGCAAGTTCTCTCAAGTGCCTAATTTTACATTTTACAGCATCTAGGTGTCCAGATTTCACATTACAACAGGTTATTTGTTCACTACTTCCCCCCTAGTAGAGTAAAGCCTCAACATGTAGCATTTCTCACCCTGAATCCCACAGAGACTCCAGACATGAAGTTGTTAAAAGTATAGTGTTGATAGAGCAAACAATAAGCCCAAACTAGAAAACAGCTCTGCAAGAGATGCATGGAAGCTTCCTGCACCACAGCGTGTTCAATGGGCAGATTTGACTCTAACAACTAGGGACTTTATCGCGTCACCGCGAACACACACACGCCCGTACATGAACACAACTGTGCTGCAGGCTAGCACGGCTGCTAAGAAATGGTGCCCAAAGCAGGAAGTCACTATTCATCCATATGTTCTTTCTCATAACAGAAATTATGTCCAATATCACCGGAATTCAAGACAATTATACTGTTGCTCCGAGGTGGTATTTTAGACATATTTACCTGTGAGCTCCCTTTTTATATTAGGAAGATTAGCTGGACATGAGTTGCTGATGTTTAGTCCTGGAGGAGGCATGCTTTGGTTGCCATAAAGGTCAATCAAATTGCCAGACACAGGCAACTGGAAAAGATAAACAAGGAAAAGGATCATTTGGTTTGCCCGTATGAAAGGCTTTTGTACAGAAGAACAGAATTAGGATCTGCTAAGAAATCTGTGCTCTTTCCCATGTGCAAACAAGAGCGTGCAATAAGGTCAGCAAAAGTCACAGATATGCACAGGTGTGAGGAATAACGTACCTACATGGGGAAAATTCTGCCCTCTCTCCTCAAGAATATGCAGACGAGGTAACACGCTGTCAGTACTGCTATACTGCTGCTCATTATTTTTCAGTGAAGCTATTAAACCTGTACCCCCATCAGTTCTCTTACTCATACATCTGAAAGAGCCTACAGAAGTCTCCCAGAGGAAGCCCCTATTTTTCCAGGAATACGTGAGTGTAAGTACTTAGCAAGCTGTCACATGCTTGAGGAGGAACACTCTATTAATCAATCACATCTTTCATGTGATCTGAAAGCTACCTACACAGAAAACATTTAAGTTTACTTTAACTTGTTTTTTGCCTTATGTAACAAGAACACACATCAGTAGGAGGAAGATTATTTTTACATTAAGTTTCCTCAATTACTTGTTCATTCTGCTCTTCTTACTTAGGTATGTTTAAGCAAGGAGATCTATACAGACACAGGACAGTGTTCCAACAAGACTTATCAAAGCTATCCCTTTCAATTTAAAGGTATTTAAAGAAGTTTACATTTATCCTGAGTGGATTATTTTGCCTGTCTCTTTTTTGTTCTCAAACTAGGTTTTGCAAAGACAGGTATAAAACACTTGGATATCTTATCTGAGTGGCAATACTTATCACTGATGTTACAAAGAAAACCAATCCCCCCAGCCCCAAGACACTGATCCTGCAGAGATCAGAGTAAGTATTAACTCTGCACCCCTGTAAATAATGCTGTTGAATACAATGGAGTGAGTCACAGCCTGGGCTGATAAACTCTTACTGATGCTCCTTGCCTGGCCGAGACCTAAGAAAATTTCTCTGCCCTCTGGAGCTACTGTAAGAAGCCAAGCTGATATGCATCTGTTAAAATGCCACCAGCTAGAAGCCATGCTGATGCTTGTCTTGAACAGACAGTGGCCAACAACAAAAAGTCTGATTCAACCTTTAAGTGACAGAGGAAAAGCATTAACTGAATTCACACCAAGATTCAGCCTTACAATTCCTCTCCCTCTCCTTAGCTCTTGAATGTAATATTAAAAAAAACAAAACACAGAAAGAGGAGAAAGAAAAAGGAACATTTCTAATAAAGCGAAGGTCACAGCTGTCCATCACAGAGTATGGTCCAAGTTGTGACGTACCCGCATTAATGTCAGGGTGAGCACTCACTCCCTCTGCTCTACAAGGCCGACCCTTGTGCCTTTTGGCCCCTCAAATGCATCCATGACACAGGCACAGCAATAGCGTCATACACCCTTCTGACTTGGATGTGCTTTTTCTATTCATGCTCCTTAGCATGGCGAGAGCACAAAGACCTTGTTTGTAGCCCAGGGACTTGAAGTTCAAAACCAGACATGTGAAGTCTAATTAGGAATTCCAGGGAATAAAAAAAAAAAATAGAAGATTCCACCCCCCAAAACCTAGAAACTAGCATCTCAAAGCCTGGGTGAAGCAGTGCAGCTAGGGTACAACGAAACATGGAAAACAGTCAAGGTTACCAAGCTGCTTCCCTTAGTGCAAGATGGGCCCTGCTTGTAACAAGTCTTCAGTTCTAACTTTTTCCTATGAGTGTGACGATGCGTACGGTCCACACTCAGTGTCAGCCTCTGAGGGGCCTCTTCTCCACGACAGCTGCAAGTCACATCTTTAGGACTAACTTTATACAACCCCTTTCACATGAAAAATATATATATAAGATGCATACAACACCTCAGCTTATCTCACGTGGCTAAAATGCCTGCAGGTAAAGATTGGTTAAAACTGAGGGGCATCCTCTGTTCCCAGTTCTACTCCAGGTCCTAGAGGAATAAAAATTACTGACTTGTAAGCTAAGAGCAACAGCTAGCAGTGCAGAGTTAAGGAAATGGAAAGGGGAGAGGACAGCTATGCTGAGGGCATTGGTTTGAGATAGACAAGTTAGCAGTATTGTGAACACATAAAAGCAGCCACTAGGCTGCAATGGAGGCAAAGGGTGAACAAAAAAAAACCCAGAAAAGGCTTATAATGGACACAGTGCAGCAGTAATGGGCCTACAAGGAAGCTGGGGGGGACTTTTTACAAGGGCCTGTAGTGACAGGACAAGGGGGAACGGGTTTAAATTGAAAGCAGGGAGGTTTAGATTAGACATCAGGAAGAGGTTCTTGCCAGAGAGGGTGGTGAGGCACTGGCACAGGTTGCCCAGAGAAGCTGTGGATGCCCCATCCCTGGATGTCTTCAAGGCCAGGCTGGATGTGGCTTTGAGCAACCTGGTCTAGTGGAAGGTGTCCCTGCCCATGGCAGGGGGGTTGGAACTAGATGGGCTTTAAGGTCCCTTCCAACCCAAACCATTCTATGATTCTGTGATCACCTAGTTTTTAGTTCAAGTGCCTCCAATTGGAAGAAACTGGAAACAAATTAAACGTTGTTTGCAAACATTTCAGCTCCAACCTACTAAGACAGTTGTGCCATTCATCCCATTCCCCAAGTACAAAACAATGGGAAAATGCATCAAACTCCCACAGCCATTTCATTGGGAAGATGAGAGTCCCAAACTGAGAAAGACATGGAATTTGACATGGTCCTTGTTCTGGTGCTACGGAAGCTCCTTCCCTGACTTAACCAAACTCTAGCATCTTTCCAAGTTAAATATGCCTCCCTTAAGGCTTTGTTAGCCACTTCGGGCTAAGAAAAAATTTAAATACAGCATCATTCAGATCGTCCACATTTACTCTCCCAAAAAGAAAATGAAGAGTGGCTCATACCAGGCTTAGCTTGTTATCTTCATTAAAAAGCATAGCATGAAAAGCTTTCATTTGTGAGATTTCATATTGCTGGGCCTCGGCTTCACAAGAGGCACAAATTACTGCTTTCATGTTACATAAAGTTTAAATATGGGAATTATTACTGCAGACTCACCACAGTACACATTCCGGGCAGTCTGAGGCTTTCCTTTCTCCTCACTACCCCAGCAAAACAAGCACCCACATTTGGTCATTCGGACTCTATATAAATCATCGAGACATCAGCCGTGTGCTCAGCAAGGCCGTTTCTAAGGTATCAGGACACACTGGGAGGGATTCTGTTCCCCAGCTTGTGCAGCCTACAACCTATTGTGTTGTTCCCTAACCTACAAGCACACTCAGTGACAGTTCCTGAAATGACTCCTCTCTACTTCTGGAGTTTAACTTCCACAGGAAAGTCACATTTAGAAGTGGAGCTGCATGTACTCGCACAGCTTCCCATGTCAGACTCTTGCTAGAAACGGATTAGTCGGATAAATGAGTTGTCATCTCAGCTTGGCATACGGGAGTACTTTACACAGTACCTAGCAACTCGGTTACTAGGTCATACCTACGCACAAAACCCTCTCAGCGAACGCTGCCCGTTTTGTGATACCTTTCAGCACACAAGGGACGCCAGTTAACTTGTGACCCAACACCAAAGTTTACAAACACTTCCACAAGCAGTTGATTGCAATGAGCCCTTTTCAATTAAGAGGTACTCGGAAATTCCCTTAGCTCGCTCTACACAGAAATCTCCGATTTTGCTTATCAATTAAGTACTGTTACCAAATGTAACAAACTGGTGCTTTTGTTCTTTGTTGGTTACGGAACAATAGCAGCCTTTGTCGCAGTCTCAGCTCAGCTATTTATAGGTTGTGTCTCTTTAGAGACCACTTCCTCTCTTGATTTCTTCCACCTCTGCTTAGCTCGGTCTACAGACATTAATTCCATATTAGTAAAATGATGGGCGTTTTAAGAGCTAAATCCCGTTCCAGAAGAAAAGCGTCTGTTAAATCAGGTTCATTATTTTCCCAAACTGATCAATTTCCACTTCTTCAGGACCGGTACCAGGTTAATTCAGAGACTGAAATATGCTCTTTGCCTCCAGCAATTTAAACGTATTAGTAAAGAAGTCTTAATTCTACTGTTTCGTATCCTTATTTGACAGACTTCACCACATACAGCGGGCAATTTCTGAAATTTCACAGCAAGTGTGGATCAGGCAGTCTTTGTAAGGCTTGTTGCAAACAGGGAGGCAGACTACCCTAAATACTGACTGCATGGACTCCTCACACCAAAGAACGCCGAGTACCATTATGGACTTGTCTGGAAGCTGGGGGCCCTGTGAAATGAGATAGGAAGAAAAGCACAAAGGAATCCAAGTCCCCTCAAATTTAACAGGTCCCAATCCAATGGAAGTTCAGAGAAAGGACTCCAGAAGAACCTGAACCCTCAAAACAAAAAAGTAACTATCTTGAAAATTATCTTTTCACAAGTTTTTAAGTTTTCCTCTCAAACTCCAGGATAGATGCACTTTTCAAGTCATCTTAGAGCAAAGAAAAAAATCATCCTTTCCGGTAGGACTCAGTTATTTCTCTGTCTACTCAAAGGCCACTATTTAGCAAGAGATGCTGGTGGGCCGTTTCCTGTGGCACGAACCATGTCTCCGAGAGGGCTGTGGGAATCTGTGGGAGCACAGGGCTAGGTTAATATGACATCAGACAAGTACTGTCAGCAAATGTAAACCTATGCTACAAAATCGATGTTATGTGGTAAACTGTAAGTTTTGGCACTAGATAAAAAAGGAAGAGACGCCAGCCCTGGCAGACATCTACTCAGCCAGATCTAACAGCACTTAAGCCTAAGGCAAAACACGCACTAGAGCTGCCCTCCGCAAAAGATCAAAATAAGATTGTGCCATAAGTACGATTATATTAAGGCTTGCAGCAATGTGAACCAGCAAACAAAACAGCAGCTCAGAGGTAACCTGCACCTTCCTTCACCCACCGATTTTCGCACCTCTGTGTTCTTGTATCACAGGCTTCCTACGTCCTCTTCCCACATTCAGTTTTTAAGCTTCTTTATTCTTTCCCTTTTTGTTTGTTTTGAAGGTTGGGAATTTTAATTTTTTTTTTTCTTCCCCTAAATTTTGTACCAAGATGGTACAAGATGCTGTCACCTACCTGGGTACTTCTCTCCATTTGAGATCAGTTTAATGAAGTCAGAGCTAACGGTTAGAATGGAGTGTATCTGGACAGGGATGCTAACGCATGCTGAAGCACGGCATACAATTTCTGCCCTCAGCATGACAAGATACATGAACCTGGGGTGCTGGAGGTTCCCTCTAGGCTTTCTAAAGCCATGGTGATCGTCAGTATCAATGGATAGGAGCTCACTTCTGTTAGTTCTGTTCCTCTGTTACAATCCTCTCACGGACTAACTTGACTTTGGACAATACAAAGGACAAAAATTGTACTCCCTCGACCTGATTCCAGTTTGTGTTTTTAAATTAATGGTTTTCATTGCAACTCTGTACCCTAAGCTCTTCAAAGGAAAACTAATTACACTCTGTGGGACTATACAGTAACTACTTAATTGCTTGGAAAATAAGTCATGGTATAGTTTTGCAAGGGAAACCAGAAGGAGAAGACCATTGTACCGTATTTGCCATTTGCAGGGCTGGGTCCATCAAGCCAAGGATTTCTTCATTGTAACTTGACTCCAGACTAATTATGTCATCGATCACATCATCCATCTGCAGCAGAAAAGGTGGACAACGGAAAACAAAACAGTTATCAAAACTCCTGGAATACAGAGGCTTGAAAAAGCACTTCAGCCACACACTGGCTCTCTGCAGCACAGGCCCAAGCAGAGGAGCCTGTGCATTTTGCCATGCTCCAAGTGCAAATTCCTCGGCCATGACTCCCAGTATTCAGCCAGGACATTCAGGTCATGGCAAACCTGAGGTTTCTAACCTACACCTCCCACCAGCACTTACCCTGTACTACCTGCCCATGGACATATGTTCTCCCCAAAAACAGTGAAGGAGACAGCTCCCCGTAGAACGAGATACACTAACGACATGAATCCCTCTCCCCTGTGCAGTACTGCCTGCCTACCCTCCACCTCTTTGCTCCAGTCGTGGGGACAAAACCTACACAGAGACAGTAATGCCCCAGCCCCTGGCACCTGCAGGGGAAGAAGAGGGAAAAAAGGCTTGCTGCTGGGCAGCAGACTGCCTGCTTTTGACAAAAGGATTCGTCGGATTCACGTCCCCCATACACCCAGGAAGCGCCACCCAAGAGCAGCTCAGAGATGATTTTAGGTGGTGCAAGCTGTCATCTTTCTGAGGCTCGGCTGGAAGGTGCTCCCACAAGCTCCTGCACAGTCAGCAGAAACAGCACCCTCACAGGTGCTCCAAAATGTCCTGCAGGATTGACCATTTCCTTTTTGCTCACTATTAAAAAGGAGCTTCAATGACAGTCATCTACAAAATTAGTGCATAAAATTGATGGTAGAAATAGTAGTATATAGGATTTTTTTTTATCAGCTCCAGGAAGTGTGATCAGAACAAAATTACACTGACTAGAAATAAGGGCAAGAAAGGAACTAACAGTTACAGCCCATATCTGAACTCTTGTTACTGGAAATAAAGAAGTTTAAAAAAAAAAAATGATTACTGAGGACAAATTACCATGGATGGTTTAAAGCCTTCTCATACCATTTTTCTAAATGCAAGTGTGAACTGCATTGAAATGTGGCCTTAGAAATTATCAGGACAAGTACACATACATGCAGTCCTGGGAAAACTGCGTTAGAAAAGATTTCCTGAAGTGAGACCTTAACACACGGCCGATATGCTCTTCCTCTATAGCCTTACAGTGCTAGAAAGCACTAGCCCTCTTCGGATGTGTTAATGCACTTCTGACATCGATGTACAACTTATATTCAACTGTAGTGACAGGGCATGTTAATTCTTCAACATAGCTTCAAAGAAACATGCTCATTAGAAAGGGGACCTGTGCTCCAACTCCTGTGTCATCCAGTACCTGCATGCATGATGCTCGTGAGTGTGTATTCAGAGCCGGGCACTCACTCTCAACCCTGCTTTGCTCTTCAAATTTATAAAATCCCTGCAGAAATAAAAAGGAAAAAAAAAAAAAAAAGCAAAGCATGGATCTGAGTTCATGGCACAGTCTCAGTCCCAAAAAGAGCACAATTGAAACAGTGTCATGCACACATGTGCCCGATGACACAGCAAAGTGAAGCTGTAAATATCTTGAGGGGGGAAAAAAGGATTTGGGTACAACTGGGACAATAGGACAGAACTACTTCTCTGTTTCTTTCAAAGCTACGGAGCACAAGTAATTCCTCTTGCATCTGCAAATTATGTTCTGTGATAACAGCTTCCCAAAGTTGTGTAACGTTTTCTGCACAGGGCGCATCGGTATTAGAAATCTGGCACAATGGCTTGAGGGTGGAGGATTCGGGGACACAAGGAGCTCTACAATTGTCTCCCGTTTGTCATGTTACAAAAACATTGACATGACTCTTACACTTGTTAACATCTTTCAAATAACCTTCCTTTGGCACCTGAGCACACTTGTAACATCCAATTAAGGTTTTACCAGCACAGATTAAATCAAGGTTGTGAAGGACTTCTAGGCACAGGCTAGCAAAGTCTCATAATGTAGCACTGAGCTCATCGTGAAACAGCCATCAGTAACGTTTTAGGGTATATTAGCTGGGATAATCTGGCGTTCCAGCTAAGCAAGAGACTTGCTCAAATTTTACTGCAAAAATACCTAAAATATCTCAAAAAGCTTTGTGTTTTTCAATTATTTTTGCTATGCTCTAAGCTCTTTCTACACAAGCGAGCCATAAATAACATTATTCCAGAAAGCTACAGCTTACAAAACTGCTTTGTATTCGCTAAAGGTCAAGTATTCAATGCGTGCAATCAGGCAAGGGGGAGGGAAAAAAAAAAGTAGTTTTAATAAGCATAAACTAGCTCAAATTGTTCAAAAAAAGAGGAAGTTAGAAAGATTCAGTTTTTTTTGCCAAAATGTTCTATGCAATATATCTTACTCAGCAGGCACAGAAGTAGTAATTGCATTTTCAAAGTGAACAGTTCAAAAAAGATGATGAACATAACATCTTAACAATGAGCAAATACGGTTTAAAACAGAAAGCGGCAGATGGCAATTCGATTTTACTAAAGAACATGCACAGTCAGAGTGTTATTACCTCTTTTTCACAGTTGGAGTTAAGGGTAAGCATAGCCATCGGGCTGTTGGGCGCGCTGCTTCCAGTTCCAGGCGGCATGACATGATCACCGGGCTGGTTTGGACATGGCAAGCTCAGGGCTTGGTTGGCATGTTTATTTGCTAGAGTGGTAGAGAGGTACTGCTTTACCTGCTGCCGCTGGGCTTGCTGAATATGGTACTTGGTTGGGTTCTCAAGGTGAGTCTGCACCTGTACGACACAATTTAAGAAGTGCTTTATTATTTCACGACATCATTCTATGTGCTGTCGGTTGGAGCTATACATTTGTGTCTCGTATACCAGCTCAGCATTCGACTTGACGTACAAACCCGTGCAGCTCCAAGGAAGTCAAAAGCGCTGCACTAACTCCCATTCGGTGGCAAGAAATCAGTTTGCGAGCTAGTGTTTCAATAACCGACTTCGCAATGCTAAACCAAGAAGTTCCACTTATTTTTCTACATGAGATTTCTCACTTAAGGCCAATGCTCAGATATCTGAGTTTATAGTGGTACAAGAACATAGGGTTCTCCATTTAGACTTTCAGCTATGCGACATTTAGTTTTCACTAAAACACGGAGAAACAAGTTGCCCCGTAGGACTCATTTTACTTGTTAGCAGGTTTGTTCTTGGTATTTTTAGATTTTGGAGGGTTTTTTCTTTGTTTTGTTTGAGATTTTTTTTAAAGTACACATCAGTTTAAAAAAAAAAAATGGAATACCACCTTTTTTTTGCCAACAAGTTGTTTGTATCTCAGATATATGGCCTAAATCACATAAAAGTAAGACAGCCTGTTTATAAACATATTATGCAAATAAGATTCAAGAACAGAAGTGTTTCAGCTCAGATCAATCACTGTACCCAGCAACAGCTATTTTGGTATTTAAGATAAGCTTTTCAGTACTTAGAAATTTTCTTATACATAAAATATGAAAAACCTCACAGCGCACTATTCGCACGTACCCTAAACAAGCAAGGGAAGAACGGCAATTTTTTTCCATGTAAGATTTTCACCATATCCTAGAAAATCTTTGTCACCTTTCTTCAAGCATTAATGTTTTTATCAGAACGCAGAAAACTAACCAAAATATAGTAATACTCTGAGAAGTTTTTTTTGGTTTAAAACAGTTCCACCAAGGTGACTTTTGCTCTTACAAGGTACTGCCTAGGTCCCCCACTTATTTTCGTGGAATAAATTAAATAAAACATGCTAGATAGCAGCAGAAAAGGATTTCCGCTATACTGTAAGCCTTCTTAGCAACAGGGTTTAAAATAAGTCTGCAATAGCAACTCACCTGATAATGATTATACTCAAGCATTTCCAGCATACTACTTATGGGTTGTGAGAGAAGCGAGTGCAATATCCTTGGCTCTATGCTACTCCAGTTTGAGGGATTCGCATATGGAAGCACCATAAACAAGCTACCCCAAAACAGCAGAAGAAACTTGAACGCCACTGCTCAAACTTATAGTAACCTACGCTAATTAGCCACGCATGTAGAGAAACAAACAGTTCACACAGGGGCTCTTCTTGGAAGCTATGCAAGTTTAGCCCTAAGTATTGGTATTATTTTTTTTCCCCGGCTTTGATGTCATGCTTTTTCATAAACATAAAAGGACCTTTTAAGTGATGGGCTATCAAAGTCAGATTGACAGTTCGCTCAAGGCTAATTCGCTATTCATCTTTCGTTCCAGTCGTACTAATAGACAATGGTATTTTTCTTTAGCAGTAAGGTTAAAAGTTTTTAAGTACGGCGTAAGAAATAACTGAACAAATGCCCTAGGAGCCTAACGCATATCCCCTGGCAGTGGGGTGCACTGGATAAACCCGCTGGGCTACGCAGTCCTATCTTCAGCTTCCAGGCACAGCAGCCTTCTGCCCTGCCCCATGCAGCCGCCAATCCACCCAGGGCCTGCAGACGAACGCGAAGGATTTGAAAAAGCTCTGCCATGTCCTCAGCCTCCCTGGTGCTTCAGAACCCATTAATTCTGTCTCAGTCTACAGCCGGAAGAAGCTGTCCAGCTCAGGAATGGTTGACAACAGGCTAAAGCATGTCCCGTGTGCACTTACCTGCACCCGAATGCCACCACGGTACTGCGCACAGTCCCTACACCCTGCAGAACTTGGTTTTTCTTTCTATCCAACTCCTCGACAAAAACCTGTACTCAAGGACACGCATCAAAAGCTGCTCGACTTGCATTATTTTTCAGTGTCTCTGCTGCACAGGGAAGCACACTTAAGATAGCCTTTCGAGAGAGTTTAATCTGATTTGTTGCACTAAATCGCAAGACAACACAATACAGAAGTCTTCTGTGATAAGTACAGCACTTGCTTTGCCAGTCCCAAACTGCGTTATCAATTTTCCTATCACCAGTGGCAAGAGTTACGCTACCCAGATAAATCTATTTTTCACTTAAAAGTTCGTCTTCCAAGTAGATAAAGTTATCAGTAAACGAGTTATAAAATAACATCTTTGAATATGTTATTTTAAAAACAAGCCCTACTTGTCTGACAGAATTTGCACATTCTTCTCCCTCCACAGGCTGCTCTCTCTGGACCCTGCCAGGGCAATGGGATTCAGCAGACTCTCCTCTCTGCACCCATCTCCTACCCACCCTGCACGCTCCCAGGGGAGAGACCAGCAGAATTCCAAGATCCACACATCAGCTGTGCTTCATCAACTATTTTATTACTTACAATACATAATATGCTGAACTGCCACCACATCTCCACTTTTGAAACACAGACTGTCTACATCAGATATTTGTTGACAAAACACATGCTTATTTCACAAGAACGTACTTTTCCCAAGATTTTGATGCATTATCCTACATTAGAAGAGTTTCTTGTTCTGCTACTCCATTTTATTTTCTTTAAAGAGAGTGTGCTGCCCTCAGTATGCCAAGGAAGGCAAGGGGAAAAAAAAAAAAGCTGTGAACCTGAATTAAAGGCATTTCATAGTTTCTCTAACTTTTAAATTGCAGATTTCTACTTAACAGACAAGTGTAACTATTCTTGAGAATTTTAATCTTGCCAAGAAGTACATCTTTAGTGCAGGGCAACAGATTTCAGCTGCAGTTCAGAGCTACTGTCTGCTTTTTCCTTTTTTTTTTTTTTTTAATTTGGGGAGGGAACGATCTTTCTTCCTCTGCCCACCCTTCCAGTGAATGTAGCAGCTAGACAAATACCACTGCGTATGTGTTTGCTGCAAAGGCAAATTATAATTTGTTAACTTTGTTAACTGCAAAGGCAAATTATAATCTAGTTGGTGTAATTCCTGACACACTGCACAGTCACTTTACACCCAGAAGCATTCCCAGAGGTATCCAGAAGACCACATTTTCATGTAGTCAAACTCTGCACGGCAACAAGTGACTCTGAGGAAATTCATCTACTGTCAGGTGCCTGGGCTTCAAATCAGCAGCAGCAGCGAAGTTACTCTATTTCCTTTACATAAAAACACCCACCAGAAGAGCCACAGTCATTAGACACTAGATATGCACCATTCCCCAAAGATGTGTTACATCTCACAGAAGCCCAGTACTAAGCCAACGAACACAGAACTGTCTTTTCTGTCATTAAATCTCTCCAAAACAATGCAAAAGAGAGATTAAGGGACTGAACGTTTCCTTTTAATCCACAGCTGGCCAAACACACTTCCACATTTGAAAACAATAACATACAATTATTCTCTGAATGGAAGGGAACTTGACATAACTATTCCCACTGTGCATGTCAGTGCAACAAGGACAGAAGATCCCTGGGGATGGAAACAGCTCCACATGCGTTCCTTCTTGGACAGACATGAGTTTCAACTACCCTCCCTCTGGACAAGCGTGAGGTCTGACAGGCTACGCAGAAGGCATCCGAGCAACTTCAGCTTGATTCTTGGTTGTGCCACTCACAGCCCTCTTGAGCTGCCTTATGAGCTCCATCACTGAAATCTGGTGGTATCACCTCTGTGAACTCAGTGTTTTTTTCTGAGACTAACTGTCTTTGGCTAAGGATGAGACTAACTCATCCTCTCCTGCAGTCTCTCCATCAAAGGGAGCCCAAATGTGCCTACTTGGGCAAATGTCCCAAGATGTACCAGTCACGGTCAGCCTGAAGATATGGCATAAAGCAGTCTAACTTTCTGACAAAGTATCTCACAAGCAAAGAGCTGCAAAACAAACCCTAAACCGAAATTCCACTATTCCAAATTTGAAACCATGAATAAAAGCTTTGAGTTAATTAAGATCTAATTTTGGTCCTCAGCCCCTTCTTGCCTTTGGGATGAAGAATAGTTCTTGTTGTTCTTCCAAATTCATGAGACATAAAGTGCAAGACAACAATTTATTGGTTTGGATACACTCCCGAAGAAATGTGTCTGGATGGGGACATGCACGAAAAACAGAACAACTTGAGACTGAGTCCTCTGGATCTCCAACCATCTATTGCCAAGAATCCCAACCCAAGCTTTGCTGTAACATTACTAAACTGACTAGAACATGAGTTTTGGTATTGGCAAGCAAGAGGTAATAGAAGTATCATCTGCAGAACTTTGGAAATTACTTAAGACAAGGTGGCAAAACCAGCTAAATTTATCACACCAGAGTAAGAGAAGAATTTGGCTACAAGGAACTACAGATCAATGATGGCCAAGTGGCAGCCTACAGCCTGGATTCAGCAAATGAAGACGGGGAAGAAGACTGTACTTTCAATTTGTATTCAGGTGCATTTTCAATTTGCTGGGTTATCAAGGCTCTGCTTGCATGGGTAATACAGAATAACACTACCTCAGAAGTAAAGGCCCAGAACTGGTTTCATGCTAGAACAGCCTCCAATGCCAGCTCAGCAACATCTCCACTAGTCTCCTGGGGCTAGCTCTATGCACAAACAGAACTGCCACTGCATCACATACTCCTGCACTACAAGTCTCACAGGACAGTGATTCAAGCTCCATTCATTCTTGCCATGCTGACACTGAGCTAATGAGTTTCTTCTTGAGTTGAAGCACTGAGAAAAGCTGTATAAAGAAATCAGTTTGACTGCACCCATGTGGAACCCAAGTTAGGTCCTACAAGGCCCAGCTGGGCTGGAAAAGCTTTGGATAGAGCCATGCTAATTACTTAGCACTCATCCCTCACTCTTTGGAATATCCTAGAGAGCAATGTTGTCTCAAGCAGGGGAAAGCCTTTCTCATACCTTCACTAATCTCAGCATCTGCTAA